CTGTATAAGTATCCAGCGTTGGTGATATGTGTCGTTTTAAATCCTTTGGTCGAAATATTACGAAGTAAAACGAATGCACTTCTTTTTGCCTTGTTTTTTTTTATGTATTTATTTACTTATTTATTTATTTATTTACTAGGCTACCAGCTGGGCCGGCCGGGTCACCCTATTTTCCCGGGCGGCCCGGCCGTGCCGGGACAAGGGAAGGTCCCAGCCAAAAAAAAAAAAAAAAAAAAATCCAAAAAATCCGAAAAAAACTATGTTATGCCAAAAAATAAACTGAACGACTTTTTCCTCAGAGTCACATCGAAATTCTTTACAAAATTTAAAATACAATTTTAAATAAAAAATATATTTTTTAAATTTTAAATTTTAATATATTTTTGGCCCGGCCGGGCAAATGGACCCGGGCCACTCTGGTAGCCTAGTTTATTTATTTATTTATTTATTTGTATTTATTCGCGAACATATCGTTGGTTTTCCGCTCTTTTTCTTTTGTCGTTGTATAAGTATCCAGCGTTCGTGCTTTGATGGAAATATTACGAAGTAAAACGAATTCACTTTTTGCCTTGTTTTTGTTTTTGTTTTTTGTTTTTATATGTTTATTTATTATTTATTTGTATTTATTCGCGAACATATCGTTTTGCTTTCTCTGATATGGAATATCATGAGGTGCAAAAGACGATTGCACTTACGGTTCTTGGACAAGCATTACCCCATTACCCTTCCGCTCCTTTTGTGACTGCTGCTTGGTGGTTATATCCCTAGCTAGTTTTTTTGCCAAATTTTCATTCGCGATTTGGAATTTGTTGGGCATATGGTCGTCTCGTTGTTGTTGTTGTCATCGTCGAAGTGGGGCTTTATATTTCGATCTCGACTTTTCTGGCCGAGTTCTTCCGGAGCATGGTGCCATGAGCAAAGGGGATTGGATTAAGATGCTGAATCTGGGCGTGTTTTAGGCGGAGATGCAGGAGAGGAGTTCAATCTCGATTCTCTGCACCTGTCCACAAACGCGGCCAAATTAAGGGGTTCAATCCAATCCTCTTTGCTAGTGGGACCTCGCCCCCGATCTTCATTTTCCTTTTGTCGATTGCTTTCGACGATTTTTAAGAGCGAAGTTCATCGAACGTGTTATCTTTGTACGGGTCCTCGGGGCCATGGTCCGTGGTCCCACTAGCAACGAGGATCGGATCGAATGCCTGAATCTGGACGAGATTATGGAGATGTGCATGAAATCGAGATTGAACTGCTTTTCTGCATCTCTGCATAAAACACATCCAGATTCAAGATCTCTATCCTATCCTTTTTGCTAGCGGGACCGCGGCCCGGGTGTTTTAATAATGACTGCTGCTGAATTTAATACGGTAGAAGGTCGTCTGCTGTTATTATCTCCTCATGGACAGTCAATATTCATTTATTTATTTATCTGTGGTAATTACCTTTGATTTTCCAATGTTTTCCGTCTTCCGTTGCCAGAAAATCGAGGAAGATTTTGAGCACTGCGGTGTCTTTACAGTTTCTGACAAAGACCAGGAATGACGAACGTGTTAACTTCCAAGGGTATGCTAATAGTCTGAGCTCCATACAATATAGTTCCATTACGGCGGGTAGATCCTCCTTCACGTCAGACGTATGTGCTACCATACTTTATAGGGAGGGCCGATGATTGTTAGTACTTCGGTGTTCACGGAACCGACACTCCTGAAATGACGGATAGACACACACAGAGAGAGAGAGAGAGAGAGAGAGAGAGAGAGAGAGAGAGAGAGAGAGAGAGAGGGCGCATGAGGGAGGGCATTTGACGACTGTTAATGACCGCACTCAACCACTAGAGCGAGCGAGAGGGATGTGGGACGCGCGCGCGCGCGCGAGAGAGAGAGAGAGAGTGAGAGAGAGAGAGAGAGAGAGAGAGAGAGAGAGAGAGAGAGAGAGAGAGAGGGCGCATAAGGGAGGGCATTTGACGACTGTTAATGACCGGACGCACCCACTAGAGCGAGCGAGAGGGATGTGGGGAGGGGAGAAAAGAGAGAGAGAGAGAGAGAGAGAGAGAGAGAGAGAGAGAGAGAGAGAGAGAGAGAGCATGAGATCTGTAGATGGATACTTCTGTAGGCCCCGAATATGTCATTGACATTTTCATGTGTGCGGACGTAGCCGCACTGGCTTTAGTTGTGTTCATCTCTTTTGTAACTCCGCACGTGCAGCTCCCCACGAATGTGATTGGAGGCCTCCGACCGGGGAGGTGCTCTTACCACCTTCCGGGTATTTTGCCCTCAGCAGATGTTAAGCCCAAAAAAAAAAAAAAAAAAGCATCGGAAACTGTGAACGAGAGAGGGGAGAGGGGGGAGGACTACATGGAGTTTGCGGAGGATGGGTGGGACGAGGAGTGGGAGGAGCACAGGGAGTACTCTCTCTCTCTCTGTTGTTTAATTTGAAAAAAGAACAAATGCCGCGCTCCAGGTGGCGCATGCGAAAAGGAGGAGGAAAGCGAGGAGGCGGCTTATGAAGAGCAGCAGGATGTGGAGGAGGGGCAGGGTGGGAAGGTTTCTTTCTCTCTCTCTCTCTTTCTCTGTTTGTTTCTGTGTTTGTTTGTCCGCTTTTACAACTGGATCATGTTTGNTTTTTAAGGTGTTTTTTTTTTTCTCTTCTCTGTTTCTTGTTGTTGCAATCCTCCATATTTGTAGGGAGGTGCTCTCGTCTCTATTTGCAGTTCTCCATATGTAATAAAAAAAACTGCCGTGGCTGCTGTAAGGGCTCTTTCCATGTCCCTCCTTTTGCGCCTGGTGCTAACTGCCATCCTGACAATGTCCACTCTCACTACCTTATCAGTAGAGTACGGGCATTGCTCGACTACGCAGCATGCTAAATGTATGCGGACCTATTGGGGTCTGATACATTCAAAATGTTTGATCAGTTTTGAAGTGTATCTGGTCTAGTTGGCAGTCCAGATTCTTTGTCCAACGTTGAGTAGTGGAGAGAGGTCCCATCACCGAGGGTTGTTCCAACAACAGATTGCCTTTTATGATCATTTGCAAAGGAAATCATAGCCAAGCCAAGCCAGCATAATTCACCGACCTGACAAACAGGCGGAGTGTGTGCGATCCTTACCTCACACAGTCTTGCCCCTGATAGAATGTATGCGTTGTGTGGTCATTATCACCGTATCTGGCCTGAAAGTTGGCCCAAATACGGCCATATTTGCCGTGTCTTCTGTTCAGGGGAAGATGGTAGCTGCTTCAGGCGGCCCACTGCCATTCAGTGCTTCACACTCAAAAATAACGGCTGCACCAACTACCGTCCTCACCCGACTAGAACGTCCGGTCAATATAGCTGTATTCAGGGTAGCTTTCCGTCTAGATGCGGCGATAATGACAGGGTGTTCCTCCATTCGGGGGTGAAGATGGTAGTTGAGCACTCACAGCAGTAAGGTCAGGCTGTTTGTCCTCGTTCGCATGCACATGGAGTGTAGAGTTCTAGGGCCTAGTTCCACTGCTCACCATCACACAAACATTTTGAATGCATCTGGACTCAGATATGTCCAGATCCATTCAAAATTGGAGCCAGATGTCAAGTCTTGCAACCATGCCCTTAGCTGACTGCGTGTATGGCCTCCTCATCTGCGCACATACCCGGTCTTTCATGCATCAAAGTTGTTTCTATACCGTGGTGCTAAATCCTTAGACTATCGTGAAGACATGATCCCTCGTGCAATCAATGGCGGTCACGAGATCGGTAGAATTAAAAGACACGCAGGGGAAGGACGTAACAGACAGTACCAGATTCATTCCATGTATCACCCGTTGGACGATCTCTATTGGATCTCAAAGAAAGAACTGCTGGTGCAGCGCACCTCGCGTTGTGAAAGCATACGAGCGACAGATAGCCTCTAATGCTGTACCAAAAGTTTCTGTAAAACTCGCTGCTACTGAGATAGCCTCTAATGCGGTACCAAAAATTTATGCAAAACTCATTGCTACTGAGTGCTCACGGAATCTCTTTGCTATGTTCGCTTACGATGCGTTTGTCCAGGACTCGGAATGAGTTACTTGCTCGAAGGGACCTCGACCTCGCGCTTGGGAGGGGGGAAGTGTAATGACCTGCCAAACACGGACTGAGACACAGCTGATTTCTGAGTTTTGCTCATGGAATGTATGCCGTACTGAGTTCCCTGCTTGCTGCTGAGTTTTCTAAGTCTGTGTGTGTGCGTGCTTGCTGGTCTGCGTGCCTGTCTGAGTGCCTGTCGGCTTGAGTGTGTGTGTGACCTGCAAGGGCACTTGTTTGTTTGGGGAGCCCGAAGGGCCGGTACTTACCAGTGGCTGTGACATTGACGGTTACAGCGGGGCCTGCGACACTTAGAGCAGCGGAAAACACTCAAGCAGCAGGTAGGCCGGTACCACACCAAGTAGAGGTAGATGTGCCAGGTACTCGAGGCCGAGCAGAAGACAAAAGTTGGCATTTTTAGAGGCCCAGTAGTTGTAGGCTAGGTCTAGGGGGTACCAGTCCAACCAGTCTGAGTCTAGGGCCTGTACGGGCAATATCAGAGTTAGCAATGATGTCTCCCTCCGAAAGGGAGGAGGTACCGGTTGCTTGGAGGCCTCGCGGCCTAGGAAGTCACTCGCCAAGGGGCAAGCAGGCCGCTATATCTCCAGGAGGCGCAAGGTGCTCCTCGTTGTCGGTGTGCAAGTTTGGCGACACAGTGGTTGGAGCGCTGGCTTGAGCAGCGCTAGCATCAAAGCAGCGCTGCTGGGGAGGAGCAAGGACAGGAGGAGGAAGAAGACCAGGACTAGTAGGGAGGAGCGCCAGAGGTACTTACCTGGCTATGGTGGATACCATCTTCATCACCTTGGTGGGCGCTGCATCTGGAAGGCCCCCGTTGGGGTAGAGCTGCACCAAGAAGCTTCGAGGCAGTGTCAGGCATGGCTGCCTGAGCTAGAGCAGCCATAGCTGCTTTGTGTTGTCCTTTGCACAGCAGGGCGGTGCCCTGGTAGTCCGCTATAGTGTTGGCCGTGAGAGGAGGAGGAAGAAGGGTGGCCATGGCTATCGTGGACCTCATGTGCTGTCTCTTATACACATCTAGATGTGTATAAGAGACAGGTGCATAACTGTGTGGTTGAGAGTGATTCACCAATGATCACCTGAGTCAGGCCTCAGGGCTCCAACCAAACGACGGTAGCTAAGGATATGGCATTGATGGCCAGGATTATTATATGATTGAGGGGTGGTGTTTACTGACTGTAGTTTGTTCTTCCTTCCTTAGATTATCCTCTTTTTTTTTTCTTTTTTTTTTTTGCGAGATTGTCCTCTTTTTTTGTGGTCCATTGATGGCAGCGTAATTGGTGGTTGTACTTGTTGGTTTCAGGGAGAGATGCAAAATGAGAGCGGGGTGGCATGTTCACGATGGAGCTGGGATGGAATGTGAATGCTATGAAGGAGGAGGAGGAGGAGGAGGAGGAGGAGATGGTCGAGACTTGTGTCAGGCAACGGCGGCAGGACGACAGAGACAGAGGATCCTGATGGTTTCGGATTTTTTTTACCCCAATTTTGGGGGTGTAGAGAACCACATTTACTTTCTTTCCCAATGTTTAATCAGGCGGGGCCACAAGGTGGTTGTGGCAACACACACATACGGAGGGGGCAGAACTGGGGTCCGTTATGTGAGTGGTGGCTTGAAGGTATACTATCTCCCCAGACTTGCCTTCTATCTTCAAAGCGTCTTCCCAACCTTTTATGGAACCTTTCCCCTTCTTCGAGTCATCATGCTGCGAGAGAGAATAACCCTTCTTCATGCTCACCAGGCCTTCAGCTGTCTTGGCCTTGAAGCCCTTCTTCAGGCGCGGACGATGGGGTACAAAGTGGTCTTTACAGACCATTCGCTGTTTGGATTTGCGGATGCAGCGAGCGTTCACATGAACAAGGTCCTGAAGTTTGTCCTCGCCGATGTGCATCACGTCATATGCGTCTCACACACGAGCAAAGAAAACACCGTCTTACGGTCAGGCCTGCCGGCGCAGCGCGTGTCTGTCATTCCGAATGCGATCGATACCTCAGCTTTCAAACCGGATCCATCGCGGCGCAAGGAAGGCGTAATTACAATCATCGTGATCAGCAGGTTGGTTTATCGCAAAGGCATTGATCTGCTTGTGGAGGTGATCCCTCAAGTGTGCAATCTGCATCCAAATGTGGAGTTTTTGATTGGTGGGGATGGTCCAAAGAGGGTGCGACTTGAGGAGATGAGAGAGAAGTGGGGGCTTGAGAGGAGAGTGGAGATGGTCGGGGAGGTGCCGCATGCCAGGGTGAGAGAGGTCCTTGTGCGTGGTCATATTTTCCTCAATAGTTCCTTGACAGAGGCCTTCTGCATTGCCATTCTCGAAGCGGCAAGTTGTGGCTTGGTTACCGTGGCGACGCGGGTCGGCGGGGTTCCCGAAGTGCTTCCGCCTGGAATGATTGTCTTGGCAGACCCAGTACCAGCGGACATCGTGGCGGCGTTGGGAAGAGCGATCGAAATGCTGCCGACGGTCAAGCCGCAGGAGATGCATGAGCAGGTGAGGGGGATGTACAGCTGGCAAGATGTGGCGGAGAGGACGGAGCGCGTGTACGACATGGTCGCGCACGCGAAAGACGATACTCTGCTGGATCGCCTTGGGAGGTATTACAACTGCGGACCATGGGCGGGGAAGCTGTTTTGCTTGGTAGCGGCTGTAGGGGTTCTTCTGCTCAAGTTCCTGGAATGGTGGCAGCCTGCAAAGTCCATTGAGATGGCGCCAGATCTCAATCCTCATTCTTTAGGAGGGAGATCCAGGGGGATAAGGAGCCAAGATCGCGGAACAACTTCCCTGCCCATGGTCGTGGAGGAGGGAGATCCAGGGGGAGAAGGAGCCAAGATCGCGGAGGATGGCGACTGATCGCGGAGGAGGGAGATCCAGGGGGAGAAGGAGCCAAGATCGCGGAGGATGGAGAACCTGGAGGAGAAGGAGGCAGGTGGTGGCGGCACCAGTTGAGTCTTGCCTCTTGACTCTGTTTGTTCTTGGCTCTATTCGTTCCTGGCTCTTGGCTTGGCGTTGAGGTTGGCTGGTGTCACCCGAAACGTCCTAGAATAGACATATTGTTTGGTAGGGAATCTAGGGATCCTTTTTTTTTTTTTTTTTTTTTTTCTGGTAGGGATCCTCATTTTTWTTATTACACAAAATATAATTTTTTTTAAGGTGTTTTTTTTTTTCTCTTCTCTGTTTCTTGTTGTTGCAATCCTCCATATTTGTAGGGAGGTGCTCTCGTCTCTATTTGCAGTTCTCCATATGTAATAAAAAAAACTGCCGTGGCTGCTGTAAGGGCTCTTTCCATGTCCCTCCTTTTGCGCCTGGTGCTAACTGCCATCCTGACAATGTCCACTCTCACTACCTTATCAGTAGAGTACGGGCATTGCTCGACTACGCAGCATGCTAAATGTATGCGGACCTATTGGGGTCTGATACATTCAAAATGTTTGATCAGTTTTGAAGTGTATCTGGTCTAGTTGGCAGTCCAGATTCTTTGTCCAACGTTGAGTAGTGGAGAGAGGTCCCATCACCGAGGGTTGTTCCAACAACAGATTGCCTTTTATGATCATTTGCAAAGGAAATCATAGCCAAGCCAAGCCAGCATAATTCACCGACCTGACAAACAGGCGGAGTGTGTGCGATCCTTACCTCACACAGTCTTGCCCCTGATAGAATGTATGCGTTGTGTGGTCATTATCACCGTATCTGGCCTGAAAGTTGGCCCAAATACGGCCATATTTGCCGTGTCTTCTGTTCAGGGGAAGATGGTAGCTGCTTCAGGCGGCCCACTGCCATTCAGTGCTTCACACTCAAAAATAACGGCTGCACCAACTACCGTCCTCACCCGACTAGAACGTCCGGTCAATATAGCTGTATTCAGGGTAGCTTTCCGTCTAGATGCGGCGATAATGACAGGGTGTTCCTCCATTCGGGGGTGAAGATGGTAGTTGAGCACTCACAGCAGTAAGGTCAGGCTGTTTGTCCTCGTTCGCATGCACATGGAGTGTAGAGTTCTAGGGCCTAGTTCCACTGCTCACCATCACACAAACATTTTGAATGCATCTGGACTCAGATATGTCCAGATCCATTCAAAATTGGAGCCAGATGTCAAGTCTTGCAACCATGCCCTTAGCTGACTGCGTGTATGGCCTCCTCATCTGCGCACATACCCGGTCTTTCATGCATCAAAGTTGTTTCTATACCGTGGTGCTAAATCCTTAGACTATCGTGAAGACATGATCCCTCGTGCAATCAATGGCGGTCACGAGATCGGTAGAATTAAAAGACACGCAGGGGAAGGACGTAACAGACAGTACCAGATTCATTCCATGTATCACCCGTTGGACGATCTCTATTGGATCTCAAAGAAAGAACTGCTGGTGCAGCGCACCTCGCGTTGTGAAAGCATACGAGCGACAGATAGCCTCTAATGCTGTACCAAAAGTTTCTGTAAAACTCGCTGCTACTGAGATAGCCTCTAATGCGGTACCAAAAATTTATGCAAAACTCATTGCTACTGAGTGCTCACGGAATCTCTTTGCTATGTTCGCTTACGATGCGTTTGTCCAGGACTCGGAATGAGTTACTTGCTCGAAGGGACCTCGACCTCGCGCTTGGGAGGGGGGAAGTGTAATGACCTGCCAAACACGGACTGAGACACAGCTGATTTCTGAGTTTTGCTCATGGAATGTATGCCGTACTGAGTTCCCTGCTTGCTGCTGAGTTTTCTAAGTCTGTGTGTGTGCGTGCTTGCTGGTCTGCGTGCCTGTCTGAGTGCCTGTCGGCTTGAGTGTGTGTGTGACCTGCAAGGGCACTTGTTTGTTTGGGGAGCCCGAAGGGCCGGTACTTACCAGTGGCTGTGACATTGACGGTTACAGCGGGGCCTGCGACACTTAGAGCAGCGGAAAACACTCAAGCAGCAGGTAGGCCGGTACCACACCAAGTAGAGGTAGATGTGCCAGGTACTCGAGGCCGAGCAGAAGACAAAAGTTGGCATTTTTAGAGGCCCAGTAGTTGTAGGCTAGGTCTAGGGGGTACCAGTCCAACCAGTCTGAGTCTAGGGCCTGTACGGGCAATATCAGAGTTAGCAATGATGTCTCCCTCCGAAAGGGAGGAGGTACCGGTTGCTTGGAGGCCTCGCGGCCTAGGAAGTCACTCGCCAAGGGGCAAGCAGGCCGCTATATCTCCAGGAGGCGCAAGGTGCTCCTCGTTGTCGGTGTGCAAGTTTGGCGACACAGTGGTTGGAGCGCTGGCTTGAGCAGCGCTAGCATCAAAGCAGCGCTGCTGGGGAGGAGCAAGGACAGGAGGAGGAAGAAGACCAGGACTAGTAGGGAGGAGCGCCAGAGGTACTTACCTGGCTATGGTGGATACCATCTTCATCACCTTGGTGGGCGCTGCATCTGGAAGGCCCCCGTTGGGGTAGAGCTGCACCAAGAAGCTTCGAGGCAGTGTCAGGCATGGCTGCCTGAGCTAGAGCAGCCATAGCTGCTTTGTGTTGTCCTTTGCACAGCAGGGCGGTGCCCTGGTAGTCCGCTATAGTGTTGGCCGTGAGAGGAGGAGGAAGAAGGGTGGCCATGGCTATGGTGGACCTCACGTGATGCCTGCAGTAGAAGAGGGATTCGGACATTGATTCTGTTTCAGCCATTCAACATTATTATTATTATTTCTTGTTTGAATAAGAGATGAGGAGATAAGGAGGAGGAGAGTGGTTGGCGAAGAAGAAGAGCATTATCATTTGTCTATGCTGGTGTACATCTTCTTCTTCTTTCTTTCTTCTCTCTTTCTTCTTCTTCTTCTTCTTCTTCTTCTTCTTCTTCGTCTTCTTCTTCTTCTTCTTCTTCTTCTTTCCCTCTCTCTCCTCTCAAGTTCATTAATTTCTTTTTGCGATTGGACGACATTGTACTTTCTGATGAATGTGTACTTATTAAAACTGGCCAGGATCTTAACAGATTAGAGAATAGTAGAATACCTGCTGCTTTTTTTTGGCCCGGGCTTTCCATCTTTCCTGTGTTGCCATTGCTTTCATGGAGGAGCTAGGGGATGAAGAGGTGTTGGTTGTGAGTGACCTGTCATCTTGGAGTTCGCTTCAGGAGCTGATTACTCAGCTGTAGCAGTCAGTGAAGTAAGAACACTACATATTATGGTCAGGCCAGGCACGGACTGAATGCTCATTAAATATGAATGCAATAATGAAACTGGCCAGGTGCATGTTAACTGGGCACAAATGCATAGTGCTCTACTGGGGACTGGCAGAAAAATCCTGAAAACATCTGCATTGGGTATATGGTGACAGAGTTCTAGCTAAGGTAACTGCTGAAGCAGAGTGCCAGAAGTGCCGGAAATGTGTTAAACGACAAGTACACGGCCCCAGCCTTGCAGTCCGAAACTTGTCGCCACAAGAAAACGAGGCCGAAACGTCAAACGCCGGGCCCGCCGTTGATAAATTTGATCGGTGGTCGCATTTTCGTTTCGCGCCTCCAGAATTTGAGGCGTCAGGGCTGCAGCCCAGGTGCCCATGCACTGGTGCTTTAAAACAAGCGAGAGGGGGCCTCCTTAGCTTCTGCAGCAAAGTGCCAGAAGTGCTGAAATGGCGCTGAAAAACAACAGCTGCTGCTGGCTGTGGTGACAGAGTTCTAGCTTAAACTAGCAGTACATGGCCCAGCTATCGGCCGTGGAAAAAAAAAAAAAAAAAAAAAGTAGAAACGTTTCCAGTCGGATGAATTTGGGCGCTCCTGTAGTGGCCTGTACATTTCCTAAAAAATGTGGGTTGTTAACGGGCACGGCTTTAGGAAGTACTGGTGGTTTAAAGGTAATTGCGAAAGCGGAATGCTGAAAAAAAGAAAAAGACAAGGAATGCCAGCAGTAGCACAGTTCGTGTGGGGCTAATTACTGCAACAAACTCTACACACCGCTCCATTGTCTGCGTTATCCTCCTGATGAGTCGGTGAAACTCCGACGAATCAGTTTGTCACCGCCCCTCGTTTGTTGTCCCCTCTTCTCCCTCTTCTCCCTCTCTGCTGCCAGTTTACCGTCGGCAGTTCTGTTTGACGATATGTATCCTTGCTCTGGTGTTACATACTTCAATGAGTATGGGCAGAACCAAAGATCAACCAATATAGGATGAGCATTTATGCAGCGGAAGTCTGATAACGAACTGACTCACATAGACTGACTTACACCAACTGACTTACATGGCATCACTCCACACACATACAATCCTGAGATGGTGGGGTCTGGGTCATTCATAGACGATACCCAGATCCCGTACACACATACACAGAGCCTGTCTCTTATACACATCTAGATGTGTATAAGAGACAGCTCCTGAGATGGTGGGGTCTGGGTCATTCATAGACGATACCCAGATCCCGTACACACATACACAGATGAAAGGTGGGAGGAGAGACGAAGGAGGTGGGAGGTAGATCACACCGATAGGTCACAAGATAGAGTCTGGTAGGTCTCCGAAATGGTAGTCCAGAATGTCATATAACAAGATCAAAATGTCGAGGACCAAAGGTCACCAATGTCGGAGATAATAGAGTCCAGATGTAACCGGTGTCCAACTGTGATGCAGCCGAGTATCAACCTCAACAATCTCCAAGTCTCCAATCAGGTAAGTACCACAGTCTCGTATCACCGAAATCCAACTCTGATCTCTGTCCAACTGGATAGTCTCCAATCTGAAGAAGAAGAAGAAGAAGAATGGTGTGACGCAGATCGCCGGGTGCACCGAAGTGTTGTAGGCGAACTCGATGTCGGGAAGCCGGTCAACCCAATCTTTCTGGTCGGGACGGATGAGCGTACGCAACATCATCTGAGCGGTCTGGTGCGCTCGCTCCGTCTGACCATCCGTCTGCGGGTGCCGAGCCGAGCTCGGCTTCATTGTCGTGCCGGACTCCGTCATGAGAGAAGTCCAAAAGCCTGACATGAAGCGAGTGTCTCGGTCGCTCACTATGTCTTCTGGAACACCTTGGTTAGTAATCCAACCGGTGTCCAAGAGTCGTGCGAGCTCAGGCGCTGCAGCATGATACTTGCAAGGAAGAAAGCGAGCATACTTACTCA